CAGCGGGCTCAAGGCCGGGCTCGGAGCGTAGTCAAGCCCCAAGCCCGGCCCGGAAGCCCAGGCTTGGGTGTGCTGGCTCCGTTACCGTTCCCTGAGTTCATAATAAGGAGAGAGCGACCTAATATGCACATAGAAGACAAAATGTAGATATTCTAGATGTAACGGCTCCCGCCGAGCACGATTGTGCGTCACCATCTGGTGCCTGCCGTAGGCGCACGCTCGTGGACTTCGCTGCGACTCGACTTGTTCCACAGGTGTAGATCTTCTGGAGGTTATAATTTAGTGAGTACATGCAGTATTGATCTACTACATCCAAATACATTCCCTTTTGATAGCACCGGAACACTCGTTGTATTGTGAGCAAGCCCGGGCTTAAGCCCAAGGCTTGGGCCGGGCTCGGGCTCGGCTCGGGCTCAGGGCTCGGCTTGACGTCGCCACAAGCCCAAGCCCGGGCTTTGAGCCCAAGCCGGGCCCGCACATCACTAACTAGGAGTATGTCTGCTGCGCTTCTCTTTTTATTTTTACCAGATGACGAACATACATGCAGTGCTCATTCTTACAAGATGCAGCCTAATAACCTCTGACATCATCGTCCTTGTGCTGACATGGATCAAATCATTCGCGCACTGGCGAGAGATGCGGCGGCTCAAGCTCACATCGTCTATTTCAGCTGTACTGCTCAGAGACGGTATGCAATTCATTTCACTCATATATGATGTGGCTCATGGAATACTGGCAAAGGCACCACTTATTTTCTGTAAGCTATTAAACCATGTGATTCTCCAATGGCCCTGTCTAACATAAATTCCCAGTGCGCTTCTAGGCATAAGCGTTCTACAAATCCTGACATGGTCAACTGACTTCACCGGTGATGTAAATATTCAAATGAACCTTCGCAAATGTTCCTGATCTTGTGCCAACAGGGCTCATTTACGAGCGCTTTTGTTCAATACATGGTAATTGTTCCATAAGCTCGGAATGCAGAGATAATTTTTAATTAAGCGTTGCTGCATGCAGCCCCCGCTGTTGGTGCAACGCTTCATCCTCAACCTCCGCCAGCTCGACTGCACTGCTCAGGCTAGCAAAAACGAGTCTGACACGCAGCACTTCTCCCAATTCTCTGAGCTTTAGGGTACCCTCCGATTTCCTCGGGAATATCGGGGAACCTCTGGACTATGTTCAATCGAAGCCAGCTGGTGAAGACGACGACAACGGCGACGGTCATTGCGTAGCGGAAGAGTCGCGAGAAGGGCTCGAAGAGGGTCTCGTGCAGTATGCAGGCTCGTCGACGATACGTTGGAAGGAACTACTAGCGGGAGCCGGCATCGCCCCCGAAAAATGTACTCGATCTACCGAACGTGCGAGTGAAGAAGACGAAGTCGAGATGTCTGCAATCCCGCTCGAAATGATGATTGGACCTTCGTTGGCCACTGAATAGGTGAGTAATCTGCTCTATGCTCCGTCCGACAGGACAGCTTGACGTAATCGTCATTCAGTAGATTCAAATATGCGGCAGAGCTAGAATGAACGACCACCAATGATCACTTACTGATGTGCTGCTCAGTGCTGGCGGCGAAGCGGACAGTCGCTTCTTACTATCGTATCATGCTCCGGCTTCCATATGATCGCAGTGCGATGGTCCGGATACTTTCAACTATACGTCCAGCTTGTAGGGCTAACGTCTCTTACATGCGATATATCTCTGCATTCGTCTGTAGCGTCTCTTTTGTTGTGTCCTTACTGAGTACTACCGTGATACGCAAATCATGGGCGCAACCGATGAATTCAAGTATGGCATGCGGTTCTACCCTAAGGTAGTGTTCAGCAGTGAACATATAAAGTGGACGACGAGCGCACATATAGGCCCGTGTAGACTGAAATTCTCGTGCCTCTCCCTCCAGCTATCCCTCGCCCGCTCATCGCCGTCACAACCAGATTCAACACGCTGAGTGCTGCCAGTGTTGCTGCCACTGACAGTCCAGCATGTCCTCCGACCATAATCAGCATATCGTGGTCCTTTTGTAAAGCTGAGCCTGGTACCCATCTGTCATTATCGGCATTGCAGTCGCGGTGAGGTCTGACGCGTTCAAGGTAGATCCTGAGACTCGTCGGGTTCGCGTACGTCGTCGCCGCCCGCCAAATCTTGTTAGTGCAATACACCAAACGCGCCTCACCGCGTCCGAGAGCAACATCTGTTGCAAATGTAAACGAAACAGCAATAGAGGTGTGACCCGGGTATGGCGTCTGGTACGTCGCTTTTAGGTATTTAAATAATGTCTCCAAAGCTCGTCACGGCGAGCCGATCGAGGAAAAAGCGTGATATCGCATGGCAGCTGTAAAGATGAGGATGTTCCGGGGGAAGACGAAGAGGCAATGCCACCACCGGTCGGCATAGTGCGTCGTTGGCGAGTTGATCTATGTCTTAAGGCATGACGCATGCTACAAGCAGATCGATCCAAGTGCGAACGACGACTTCTACTTCAACGCTGCATGTTGGCGCCGTGCCAAGAATATCGGAGGTTGAGAGTTATGAGAGGGACGAAAAAGAGAAAGACATGGAAGGCGTCGTGTGTATCGGCCTGCAAGCGAGGTAATTTTGTGTTCGCGCAAGACAATTCGCCTGGGGGAAAACATCCGCTCGAATGTGCGTTATGAGATGGCGTGCTAGGGATTGGAGGATATCTGAGGTTATGAGTTATGTGCGAGTAAGATTAGACACAAGTACGTACCGCGAGAAATACGTCACACAAAGATCCGCCGCGCCGCGCCTCTACATATCGTAGAAAATTGGGACGTTTGATTATGAAGTTATACAAAAAACTCTCTCGATGGTGACTACTTAGTCAGGTTGTGGCTGCTGTCACGGTAGTTGTGGTCGAGCGACGAGGGTGGTGGGTATCGCATGCTGCAATGACTGCCCGGCGGAGTGATGGTCGAAGTAAGAGAGAAAGCATCTCGCGAGAGCACTTCCCAAGACTTTGTGCGTCTATATGTACCATTGAATTGAGGAGAGTTCGCGTAGACGTGAAAGCGTACCTGGCGTCGCCGCGAATGCAAGAAATTCAGCGACGACTATCCGCCTCGGCTTCCTATGTCACTGATTATGTCAGCGCTATTAAACACCGGCTACTTACCACATTTTCCCACAGTCATTGCTACCCTTACCTCCGCCAGCTTTCATATGTAACACAAGCGCGTTCTTTGCGACGCGCCTCTTTGCTTATCTCGCCTCCGCCTCATAACCTCAATCTCATGAGAGCAACCACCTGCGGTACACACTCATATAGCTTGTCCACTCTGCTCTTCCTGCTGGGACCTGCCGGCCCAACTCCTCAGTGCGCCATGGACGCCATCAACTCCCTCGGCCTCAACACCACCTATTGCACGGGGAGAACTCGCCTCTCGAGACACAAACGGCGGTCGCGACGCGGCTGAACACGCTGAACGTGTTGAGTCCCGTGGTGCGGGTGGATGACGGGTGGGCGATCGTTAGGGGGAGGGGCGCGAGAAGCTAAGTTTGCATGAGCCAACGTGTACGTTTGCTGCCGCATTCATTAGCGATGTGCTGATGGCGGAGCCCTCTATCTGGCCTTCTTTATACCTGCAGAAACGGGTGCGCCGCATCCCGCTACGTCATCGCAGTCCGCGTCGCAGCTTGCAGACTGGTTCGAGCTTTATACCGATGCGCTCGAAATCAACTTCCAGACCTCAACCGCTGCCACGCCCATACACCATGCCAGCGACACGCAGAAGTGGAACGTCACCCTCCAGAAGTCTGAATGCTCGCAGCGCGTTCCTATCTGCGGAGCGTGCCATCGTTGCAGCGGGCCGGCTGTTCGAACGTGCGGCATTTGCGGGGCAGGTCTTTCGTGTCCAAATTCCCAAGTGCTCACGCTGATGCCGCCGAATCAGGATGACTTTGCCGGCGCGATTGGACTTTCCGTTCTGCAGCGCGCCCCACATCGGCGAGAAGGTCGCTGTCATCGGAGCGCGCTCTTCTGGTGCGTGTTCCCTTTTCGTAAGGCTTGCTTAAGCCTCACGGACGCTGTAGAGCACGACGCCGTGTCCCTCGGCGTCATCGGTGCGCCTCGTACCGTGCTTTTCAAACGTGACAATGCAACACCGCTCGCACACGTTCTCTATGTCGATGAACCCATTCTGTCTTCGCGCCATCTTCTCAACGCAGTGGGAGGCTGCGCCCACAGAAGACGTCGACTGCGCCAAGTTTGCGCTCCCGTTCCCGTTGCAAAACACCTCGCAAAGCGCACAGCCGTGCGTGTATGCAACGATGACCAGTGAGCAACCTAGAATGATGTACGTACGTACACGCAAGCGCTGACGTGAGGGCTAGGTCGCAGAGACTTGGAAGACTGGAGAGAGCGAGATATGGCCCTTCGGACGGCGAGGAAGTCTCGGGCGCGCCCTGGCATCTCGTGCGTACAAGAGAGCATTTCCTCGATGCGCCTTGTCACTCTTATGGAATCGTTCAGCCTCCGTATCTCGTCTCATCGCTACAACATACCACGGCGCATGCCACCAGATCATCGACAAAAAATCAAAACGAAATCTGGTGTCGACATGGCAAGCTTGAAGGCTTCACGTACACCGACGCGTGCTTCAGAAGCGGAACAGAGTTGGAGGTTGACGTCGCCGTCGTCGCCACCGGGTGCGTGCCTTCTCCTAGGACGGTAGTCACATGCGCTCATATTGTATTTGTGGCAGGTACGACGATGGACGCCTCGTCATTCGGGACCGTGGCGTAAGATGGCTTGGGAGGCGTGAGTCCTCGAGACATGCGTCTCGAATGGCCGCACGATAGATTCTACCGCGAGCGTGCGCGTTCGCGTTGGAGCGGGTCTTTCTGCGGGATTCTAAGCGGAACATGATGATGATGATGACAACGTATACCTCGGCGGTGAATGCTTCATCGCGGTTCGTCGATGTCATCTAATGCAAAGGTGCACGGGAACAAGAAAATCTACTTGTTCAATTTGTCAAAGCGCGGATATGTTTGGTGCTGCGAAGGACGAGAGACTTGTGAAGAGGTTTGGTGCCGGGTTAGCTGCTATTCCCGCCATCATGTCAAGTTGGGCGACACGCACGTGATGGCGGATCAGACACAGGGACGCCACGAAGGCGGAGATCTGATGTGCGATCGAGCACGGTCTTTCGGTTCGTCGTGAGTCGGAGTCCCAGAGCCGTGCGACCGAACAGTGTTCACGCTGAGCACCCTACATGTTGCCCATCTCGCAGGGTTTAGGGCTGCGAAGGTCGCAAGATCAGGTGCGTTCGAGGTGCTCAAGCACGCTCGTACCGGGTTGGAGAGCGTCAGAGGGAGATGTGGCCAGGCTGCACAGCTCTCACAAGAAGATAACAAAGCGTGTCATGGGACCCAGACCGGGAAAAGCCGCCATTTCAACAGCGTAGAGCTATTGCCCAGATTGGCGACGGTGGATGCGACCGCGTGTGGACGGAGATCCGGAACAACCCGCGGATGCCACAAAGCCCGTGCCCGCGAGCCTTTTGTGTGCGAGCCCCGAAATTTTGACTCCGCACCCCCGTGCCTGTTTACGTTACTACCAGAGCTCAGGTCACTGTCACTGCACCCGTGGACTATGCCGAACGTAACTGGGAGAACACCAGACCGCGAAGGTGATCGTCCGGGGGTACGCGGCATCCATCAGGCTAAAATTTCTGTTTCGGTGCAAGTTTATTGCAGATTGAGAGACTCTGTCTGCACGTGTGCCCTAGAGATGGAGCATCTCACCCGCACCATTCGCATCTGTTCTAGAAGGCGTGATGGGGCTGTATGGTGTTACAATGTCAAGGCGAACATGAACTGGCACTTCGCAGGCGGAAGGTGCAGTCGAGATTGAGCCGCGATTTGATGTCCTGTTCCCGACAAGTCTACCCGCGGCATTCAGCTAGTCGGTTTGCCTGTGCAGTCTGAAACGCCTGCTTTCAACAGGATGGTCTTCCATGCGACCTGCGTCTGACGATTGACGTTCTTCTCTCGCTACACTTCTATCTGATTGTTACACTGATATCGAAAGCTGATACTCTCGGGTCAGTGCGGTGATTATCACAGCAGTCAGCTGACGTCTGTGTGACAAAATGAGCTGCAATCTTGGGATCTACAGTGATATGCGGCCTCCCAGCACTGTGCGTGCCGCAATATATGGCCTGTGTACATGAGTTCGCCTTCCTGCACAGACCAGCCCGCACCTTCTGAAGACTTACCATAAGAAATGTGTCTCAACCAAATGAAGTCTTGAAGCAGGAAGCACAAACAGCGTACGGGTTCTCTCTCCTGGAGCACACATACTCTGCCTCTGACGCGCAAGCTATACATCCAGCCTAATACAAGACTATGTCTTTTTCTCGGTACTGGGTACGTTGTCGCGTTGCCAAGCCTTGACAGGCTGGCTAGGCGTCGGTTTTTACAGCCCCCCTTGCTAGTGCAGCGTTTCATCCTCAACCTCCGCCAGCTCGACCACACCGCTGAGGCTAGTTAAACTGACCTCGGCGCGCAGCACGTTTCCCGCTTATCCCTGAGGTTCAGGGATGCCATCCGATTTCCTCAGGAATATTGGGGAATCTCTGGACCACGGCTAGTCGGAGCACGTTGAGGAGCACTATGGCGACGACAATCGCTGTGTGGCGGATGACCAATGGGACGGACTTGAAGAGGGCTTTGCGCAACATTCGGGCCCGCTGATTGTACACCTAGACTCAGGAACCGATGGAAGCCGACATCGCCCCAGCTTTGCGATCTAACGAACGCGCGAGCAAAGAAGACGGCGTCGGTTCAATGACCGCTTTCCCACGCGAAACGGTCCTTGGACCTTACATGGCTGCAGATTAGGTGCGTGTTTTGCTCTATGCCTGTTAGGGCGGCTCCGACGTGTTCGTTTTCGTCGGCTGTCGACTCCACTGTAGAATATTGAGTCGGGCTTTCACATGGAGCGGCGCGGGGCCTGAAGGTATGTGCAGCTGCAAGCCGAAATCAGTGGCTAGCAGGGGCTCAGGACAACGACAGTATCAAGGGCGGCTGCAACAAAGGCTTCAACAATGACGAGCGAGGGCAAGAAAGGCGGCCATCCAGACCAGGAGGGAGTGGGCATCTCGAACTAGTTTATTAGAGGGGCGGGATTGTGCGCCTACGCGGGGACTTAGACGGATAGGCCAGGTATCACCGCTATGATCCACGAGTGCGATGTAGAGTTTAACAACATATAATAGAAATTTGACAGTGAGGGTGACGTAGAGCCGCAGGCTTTAAGGAGGACGCAATCACCTACAGCCTGATGCCGTCGAACGTGAATACACTTGTCGCTTTTTGCCGAAGTGTTCACACCGATGCGCACACTCGTCGGTGGGAAAACTAGATACATGGGCGACGCGAAGGAAGGCTGGTACAAGTAAGATTCAACGGGAGGAATAGTGTTTAGTTCTACCCTAACTATAGCGATCAGTAGTAATCATGGAAAGTATAGCAGCGAGCGCAAATATAAAGTCCACAGAGGGACAGGTCGGTGGATTTTGATGGTGTTCATGGCGTCCTGATGTACGTTGAAGCCGTTAGAGAAGAAAGTCGGTGATAGACAGACCGTGTGCCGGTCCTCGAGCAGGTGAACTACTAGCGATCGTCGCGATGGCAAGCGCATAAACAGCGGCAGTGACGCAGAGCGGGTGCAGCGGAGGCGAGTGGTCGCCGACGGTCAGCTCGTGCTATCATCTGCCGAGATACGTCGGGAGTGAGACGGAGGGCTTGATGAGTGCGCTGACCGTGATAGGCGGATCTGCGCGGTCGTGCGCCGAGATGCTCGTTGCCTATGGGATGCAAGGTTATGGAGTGCGCTCCTTCACCACGGACGTCACCATAGATAGTACGCAGCTTGGTTGTCGTCGAGTAGCCATGGATCACTCTGGTCGTGCAGGTGAGCTGGAAATTGTTCGGTTAGCGCCGTCCATGCGTCGACAGGCTCTGCCTCCGGGAAAGATCAATGACGGAGCGTGCATGGGTTCGAGTAGTATGCGCACCTCTGTCCTCTAGGCGATCTTCTCGTAACTGCGCTACCGCCTCTCCTCTGCGCCCACCGCCGAAAGCTCCCGAAGTACGCCTGCACCCAGCGCAGAACTCGTTATGCTCACATACTGACATTGGCCGCTGTGCGCATTCTTCCCGCAAATCCCTGGATCTGCGCAACGAAATCAAATTGCAGAGGATGCTTCCACAGTAAGCGAACAAGGCGCGCGTTTTGGTGTCCTTGTGTGCTTATGTTTTGTGTCAACAGCACCGCTCCCAAGGTGGCGATGAGCGTCGTGAACCAGAACAGCTTTGCGCCGTACAGAAAAGTTAGGAGCTATTTCTAAGCAGGACAGATGGTGCAGCCTGCTCGAGTGCTTCAAGGAAGGAGCCAGACGTGCGTTTTGTCGGTGAGGTGAAACGACACCTTGCCTCCTAGGGTTCCGTTTTCGCTCAAAGACGGCGCGGCATCCTACAGTGCCTTGATACACATTATCGAGCGCTGCTTGTATGGTAGAGGAAATAGAAGCGCGAGTTTCATGGTAGTCGAGCCGAGTGGGGAAGTATCAGAGGGAGATATGAAGAGGTTGCGCGACGCGTACAGGCCGAGAACGAAGCGGACGACACAATCAAGAGCGGAAAGAGTTATCAGCTCAGTAGCAGATATCGGCTTATCGTCTAAGCCGGGTACGGATGAGGCGATGTGTAAGTCGACGGTGGTGGTGGTGGTGGTGGTGGTGGTGGTGATGGTTAGAGAGGAGTAGCCCGCAGATGCCGCAAAGGCAGGCGTCCATGCGTACGTAATCTGGAGCCTGCGTTTTCGAGCCGCTCATCTGTGCTGTACTACCAGGGTCCGTGTATATCACGGTTCGCGTCAGAGCCATATCTGCATTATGCACATGCCATTGTTCGCAACGTATTGCCACTATATGCTGCGGGCTACGCCGAACGTATCCGGGCGACCACCGGACGAACGAAGGCAATCACCCGGCATGCGGTATCCACCAGCCACTGCTGAGGTCCACTTCACTACGAGTACATCGTAGGTTGGGAAATTTTTGGCCGCATGCATGCACTAAGGATGGGGCATTTCGTCTGGTGCGTCTACATTCTTTTTATAAGATGTGATGAGACTACGGTGTTGGAACGGCGAGCCTGAGGCCGACTCAGAGCAGGCAAAGATGCATTCGAAGTTAAGCTACGACGGTTCTTGTGTCGCCGAAAAGTTGGATGGCTATCACAAACTAAGACACTGCGTCAACTCTCTGTGTTCTCACGCATAGCTGAGATGGCAACATGCTTTGATTGCGCCGCGGCCTGCTGCGGACCGCGACTGAGCAGATGCTCCTCTTTGGCCATGCAAACCCGTTATCGTTGCCCTAGAGATTTAATCTCTAAAGTTGAATGTGACCCTGTTGATCGTCCCTTCTTTGTTTAGATCTTGCTGTGGCATTCATCGCCCCCGTGATGTCCTGGCTTCTACCAGTTTGCTTGCGGCGTTCGGCTTAGTTGTTAATCTATCTATCAAGCGGTTTAAAATGCCCGGTTTCAACAGAATAATCTTCTCTGCCGCTGACGTCCGGGTGCGATATGCCTTCCACGCCCATTGCATTTCTATCTAATGGCGCAGGTAACCACAGGTTGCAATGGTCTCGAGAAGCCATGCCACACCTGATGATTCACTGCAGCGATTACTATGACATATCGTGCGTAATTGAGCCGTAGCTGAGTCTTAGAACCTGCCATGAGCTGTCCCACAGCACTTGTACAACAGTATATATAGCCCATGTGCGAGTTCGCCTCTCTGCACTGACTAGCCTGCGTCTTCTTACACCACAGGCAACATGACCCAGTCAAATGAAGGCCTAAACCAGGAGCTACGAGAAGCGTAAGGGTTCTCTCTCATCGGAGTATACATACTTTGTCTCTGACGTAGAAGCTATGTGTTCAGTCTGACAACAGATTATATGGCTAATGCACTATTGTGTATGTTACCTCGTCGTTAAGCCTCGGCGGCACTCTGCTGAATAACTCTCGTCCTCAGGCCTTGTGGTCTACGAGTACATCATTACACTCGACCAGGAAATTGCAGTAGTGTGGAGAAAGAAGTTTACGGCCACTTCACCGCTGCTACTGGGCATCCGGTGGCTCATGGTCTTGGGCCCAATTCTGCCCGCTATACCTGGGGGGCAAACTTGGTGTGAGTATCTCGACCGTTCAAATCTTCAAGATAGACTGACCTCACAGCACTGCTTTGCAGGCATACGATGTATTTTCTGGCAGGATCTTCACTGATGAATTACTGCACTCGCCACAAGGTGTAGACCGTATTACACGCTGTCGACGCTCGTGTACGTGACAACTACAGTCCTGATCTCGGGTGAGCGTCGAGCACACTTGCCGTCGAATTACATGAAAATGAGCTGATTTTTTTTTGACTAGTATTCTCCGCCCTGCGTATGTACGCGCTCTGGAAATGCTCTAGGATGAGATACATCTTCCTTGCGGTTGTGCTTACGCTTGGGACGGTCCCGGTTTGGACAAATATTGTGAGCTGTCCCTTCATCAGTCACGTAGTTCAAGTTGCTTTTTACTGACCTACATCCAGTTCAACTTAATACGCGCCTCAATTACTTTCGTGGACAGCCCGCTGCTCTCCGGATGTTCCGAGTTCATCGGCATATCGCTGAAACTAAACACCGAGTATGTTCCAGCCTGCTACGCTGACCGCTTGGCTGTGCGCTGACTGTATTGTCTAGGTGTACGTCTGATGCGCTTCAATCTCCATCCTTACTGCATTATTAATCCATATGCAGTGTTCTTTCTCACAAAATGCAGTGTGATAGCCTCTGAAGTTGTCGTCCTTGTGCTGACATGGATCAAATCATTCATGCACTGGCAGGAGATGCGGCGACTCAAGCTCATTTCGAGTTCGTCGATTTCTTCTGTGCTACTCAGAGATGGTATGCGTTTCGCTCTCCTCTAATTGCTCATATATGACGCAACTCATGGAATATTGGTCTAGGTACTGTTTATTTTCTGTAAGCTATAACGTCATATAACTTTATAACGACCCTTTTTAACGTATAAACCCCGAGTATACTTCTAGGCATGAATGTTCTACAAATTTTGACCTACTCAACTGGTATCCTGTATGATGTGAGAATTCAGCTGCCTCTCTCCAGAAATATTCTGATACTGTGCCGACAGGGCTCCTATGCAACATTCTTTGTCCAGTACCTGGTGATAATTCCATAAGTCTGGATGGTGACAATAATCACTAACTAGGTGTTGCCGTTTCCAGCCCCCATTACTGGTGCAGCGCTTCATTCTTAACCTCCACCAGCTCAGCCACACAGATCACGCTAGCGAAAATTACTCCGACTCGCAGCACTCTTTCAGCACCGCCATAAGCTTCAGGGTGCCCTCCGATCTCCTCGGGAATATCGGAGAATCTCTGGACCATGGCCAGTCAGGTTGGGCTGAAAATGATGACGATGAAGTCTGCAGCACGGTGGCAGAGTCCTGGGCAGGACCGGAAGGGGGTCTCGCGCAGCATACAGGCCCGTGTGCCACCCACTGGGGGGAGCCAACCAGGGCCGACGTCTCCTCCGGGCCAGTTTTGCGATTCACTAGACATGCAAATGACAAGGACGCCGGCATTCCCGCCCGGAATAGTGATTGGAACTTCTGTGGATTCCGATTAGGTGAGTGTTCTGCTCATCGTTCCGTCAAGCCAGCTTGACATAGCCGCCTTGAAACAGATCAGATATGTGGCGGGGCTGCGAATGTTTTGCAGTCAGTGACCACCGACTTGTGCACTGCCGACGGTGGCGTCGAAGCGGACAGTCGTTTCTCGCCGTATGACACTCAGCCTCTCATATTTATATTAGATTTTTGGATTAATGTTTCGAGCTCGTGTTCGCCGGCGCCTCGTGCGCACGTTGTTTACTTGTATTTGTCTTATATTGCGCCCACGTTCGTACCCAAGACATTTGTAGTGTAGATAACTACCCGCCGAATAGACCGTGAACGTGTGAACGCTTGCGGGTTTGCCCCTCTCGACGATGTAGCCCACGACGGCGGCCTGCATCTTCAACAATTCAATACTAGTATCGGTCTCAATTCCACTGTCTGTATTCCTCTTAACACTTTATTGATAATTTATCGTTATGAATGACACGACGCACTCCTAGGGGGCAGCGGTACAGAGCCTCGTACTCGTACAACTTGCGGAATTGGTGTATTAGATGCTGAATGTACGTCGGCTCCCGTCTATTGCGGCCCTTGAGTTTCATTCCCACTGCGATGGTGCATATACTGTGCGCAAAAGCGGCGAGTCTGAACGTACTTGCACTGCCAAGTTCAATTCGTGTACAAAAGCTTTGTTGAGACGGACAAGTGCTATAAAGGTGTCTAGCCACACTGACAGAAGTGGAGCAAAGTTACGCCACGAATGGCGTCGGTTGCCCCCAATCTCTCTTTCTTGCGGCGCGTCCAGAATGCAGACAAGTACACAAACATTGCCAAGTAACCGGAACCGCGTAGCGCGGCCTGTAGAGCCTCCCCTGCTTCGCCTTACTCTCTCCAGATTCCACACCAATCAGTGACCTCGACACTCGTCGTGAAAGGAACTTCGCTACACACGTAGCGGTACCACCGGAGTTGCCTGCACGATTCTCGTCAGCGCTCCTCACGAAAGAAAAAGTTCAAAAAAGACTCAGCGGCGTGCCCATCGCGAGCCACATGTGCGGCAGACAGTGGAGCCTGCGCCAGGGACCTTCAGCTCGTCCCAAGCGTTGACGTTGAGGCCTGAGGCCTGAGGCCCAGTGAGAACCTCGTCCGTCTGGCGCTATCTGAGTCGACCTGAGTCGACCTGGATGGTGGAGTGTTGTAGTAAGGGACCTAAGGTCTACCCAATCCATCAGAATATGTCCGCACAAACATGGGTTGACCGCGGGTAGATCTGGACAGTACCGGGCAGGTTTGATCAATTCCATGAGCTGCACCCTCAATTCTTTGTACTTAATTCGAGTAAAATTGATATTATATTTTGTGCTACTCATATATGCTCGGTACAATCCAGATCTATCGTACTCTACACCCACCGATCCTCCCGTGCTCTGCGGTCCCTCCTCGGCCTACCGTGGATCATCATGCGGTCGGCCGAGCGTCAGAAGCAAGGCGGCCGTGACCTCCCCGTCGTCCATCGCGCGATACCAGCATCCAGCATGTCCTGAGCGCATATACGTGATGAACAGAAACAGACATGTCTGTTGGTTGCTGTTGTGAGCACGACGCAGCTGTGAAAAGAGCAAGTGTAGACGCACCTTGAGCCCGCCCCCAACATTTGCGGCAGTGTATCGACTGGCTCGACTGCCCCTGCGATGTTGAGTACAACACAGCGCCGAGAGGCATAAGTTGATGTTAAAAGAGACTTTCGGTGTTGGTATTTGCGCATATACTCACCTGCTTGCCAGATTGGATAGCGGGACGGGGACTACAGGGATGCGGGGCGCGACGGGTGGCATGGTGGGGGCAGCAGAAAGAGAGCGGCGCGGCGCTGTCGCCAGAGGTGTGCCCTTATATAAGTGGGATAGGGCACCTCGGCTTCGATTTGGTGGCATCGGTCGGCGGCGTCGGGACATTGGAGTCATTAGTTCAAAGTCCTCGCATTCAGACTCGGATTTGGATTTGGAAAAGAGTCGGTGGCGTTTCGACACGTTGGAGAGGCATTAATGGACGCGTCAAAGACCACGGTGCGCCGCCAACTCAACGGAGACGCAGCCGATGGGCGCGGACGTCAGAGCTTCTCCGGCGTCTGCTGATTTCTCTGAGGTCGCTGGGGGTGGATCAGTGAATTTTCGATAGGCTCAGATAGTCCTCGGTCGCTTCGGGCGGACGGGGTTTTTCACTGGGCCTGAGGCCCCACGCGCTCTCAGCCTCGCAAGCGCGCGTCGTCGAAGCCGCGTGATAGGTTGAGCCGGACCCTCATCGATGACGTCATAAGGCTGGAAGGCAAAAATGCCAAGACGGTGGCGGGAAGGGTGCGCACCTGTCGAGCGTAGGGTGGGTGCTGTCCCAGTCGCGGAGAGCGGTGTAGATTACCGCATAAATGCATATCTTTGGCTGTGCGCGTCTCTTATTCCCGCCCTGAATGTCTGTCCTCATGATCTACCGGCCTGAGCGTTCAGCGCGTCCATCTATCTGTCAAGTGATTTGAAATACCTGCTTCCATCAGAAGTATCCCCCTATGCGCACCGCCGCGCGAGGGAATTCCGCTCTCATCATACTTCTATCCGAGGGAACTACAGACTTGAGGGGTTACTCTGATGTTCTAGTACGGTGATTATCACAACAGTCAGATATCCGTGCGCCAAAACGAGCCGCCACCATGAAGCCTTCCGTTCCGCAGCACATGTGTCACGATATATATATCCTACATACGAGTTTTCTTCCCTGCACTGACTAACTAGCACCGCCTCTCACCACAGGCAACATGTCCCAGTCAAATGAAATCCTGGAGTATGAAATGCAGCTAGTGTATGAGTTCTCCCTCTCTGAAATACACATACACTATCTCTGACGCACAAGTCAGTCTGACAACAAACGACGTGTTTTACTCGCTACTGTGTACGCTGCTAAGCTTCAGCGGCACTCTGCTGATTAACTCTCGTTCTCAGGCCTTGCAGTGTATGAGTACGTTATAACACTCAACCAAGAAATTGCGGCAGTGTGGAGAAGAAAGTTCACGGCCACCTCACTGCTGCTACTGACTATTCGGTGGCTCATGGTCCTGGGTCCAGTCCTGTCGGCTGCACTACCCGGTCACAGACAAGATTGGTGTGAGTACGCCGATGCTTAACAGTAAGGATAGATCATTGGCCTTATGGTACCCTTTTACAGGTGTACACTGCATTTTATGACGAAACGTTCTCTGATAAACTGCTGCATTCGATATAAGGTGTAGATCGGATTACACGTTGCAAACACTTGTGTACTTGGCGACTACAGTTCTGGTCTCGGGTGAGCACCAAGCACATCTGCCGTTGGATTACATGAACATGAACTGATTCTCCGTATAGTATTCTCTGCTCTGCGTGTATATGCGCTCTGGCAAGACTCGAGCATGAAGTATGTCTTTGCCGCGATTGTACTCATGCTTGGAACGGTCCCAGTTGGTACAAACATCGTAAGTTATCCCCTCATCAGCCACGTAGCTAATTTTGACTGATTTACATCCAGTTTAACTCAGTACGCACCACAATCACTTTCAAGGAATCGGAGATTCCGCAGCTCGCTGGATGTTACGAGTTCAACAACATACCGTCGAAGCTGAACACAGAGTATGTCTCAGCTTACTATTCCGACCGCCTGGCTGTCTGCTGACGTTGCGATGTCTAGGCGTATGTCTGCTGTGCTTCGTTTTCTACCCTTACCGCATGACGAACATACATCCAGTGCTCTTTCTCACGAGAGGCAGTCTAATTGCCTCCGATATCATGGTCCTTGTGCTGACATCGGTCAAGTCATTTGCGCACTGGCGGCAGATGCAGCAACTCAAGCTCACTTCATCCGTTTCTGCCGTGTTGCTCAGAGACGGTATGCATTCCGTTCCATTTTACTTGCCCATATGCAACACGGCTCATGGAATACTGATTTAGGCTCGCTTTATTTTCTGTAAGCTATAATATCCTACCACTTCTTAATGTCCAAGTTGCCTAACATGTAAGCTCCGAGTGTACTTCTAGGCATAAGCGTTCTACAGATCTTGACCTACTCAACTTCTCTGACGAATCAAGTAACCATCTTAATGCATCTCTCTGCAAAGGCTCTGATGTTGTGCTGACAGGGCTCTTATGTGAACGCCTTTGCGCAGTTCATGGTAACGGTTCCATAATACCAGATGGGAAGGGTTGTCACTGACTAGGCATCGCTATTTCATACAGCCCCCGTTGTTGGTGCAGCGCTTCATCCTCAACCTCCGCCAGCTCAGCCCCACCGCTGAGGCCAGTGAGAACAACTCTGACGCGCAACACTTTTCTCGCTCCTCTATCAGCTTCAGGGTGCCCTCCGATTTCCTCGGGAATATGGGAGAGTCTCTAGACCACGGTCAGTCGGAGCGAGTTGTAGAAGATAGCGACGACGATCACCGCGTAGCGGAAGAGTCGCGAGAAGGACTCGAAGAGGGTGTCGCGCAGCATGCGGACCCGTCGAAGACACACCGGGAGAACCTACCGAGAACAGGTGTCGCTCCCGGGCCGGTTTTGCGATCCACCGGACGTGCAAGTTTGGAGGACGACGGGTCGTCTGCTTTCGTGCTCAGAATGATGACTGGGCATGATACGGCTGCCGGTTAAGTGAGTATTCTGCTCTGTGTTCCATCAGAGGGACTTGACGTAGCCGTTCAAGCAGGTTCAGATACGCAGCAGAGTCGTCAGCATACGGCTGTTGGCACTGGCTACCGACTGCTGTGCTGCCCAACGCGGGTGTCGAAGCGATCAGCCACCTGAGTCTTATTCTGCGGCGCTACAGTCCTCGTATTTAACGATTGTTCCAGTCTCGCCTCTGCCGTCTGCATCCCTCTCAGGATTTACCAATCGTCTATCGTTGTAAGAACCGGGCGAGTTCCTAGGGGTGCAATGACGCAGATCCCTATCCATATGTACAGTTTGTGGAATCAATGCGTTAGATATATAACATTGACTCGTTTTTGTCCGTCGTAGGTCTTGTGTTCCATCATTACTGTCAAGGTATATCGACATGCATAAAAGCGGCACGTCAGATTGAGTTCTCATTACCAACTTCCAACGCTGTATAAAAGTAGTGATGAGGCGTGAAGATACCAGAATAGCGCACGGACAAAGTATCGCCACAAGCGGCTGTGAGCACCCCAGCATTGATATACATAGTGCATTGAACGCAGACACGCGTAGAGGAATCATCACTCAACCAGGGATGCGCAACGCGTCATATAGAGTTCCTCCTGCCTCGCCTTGATGTCTGCAGGTTCCATATCAATTGGCAACTCCGCCAAAAACTCGCCATGAAAGAATGTATTGCCACTCATGCGACGTCAGGAGCTCGGAGAAGTAGCGGCACCGCGCGAAGTCACCTGCGCGAACCCATCGTTAGCACCTCTTGCGCGCAAAATCAAGAAAGGGGCGTGCCGACACATTCATCATGAGCCACATGTTCGACAGGCTCGCGCCAGGGACCTTCAGGTCGCGCTGAGCATTGAGGCCTCACACATGCGGGACCGTCACGCTCACGGCCTCGCCAGACAGTTTGCGGATCGGGTCGCGCGTGTCTTCGAAGCTGCGTGCGAAAATCACGTTGAGCCGGATTCTCGCCGGACTGAAGGGTAAAAATGCTGGCACGCATCCTGTACGGCGACAAAGACGTCCGCGGGGAACGGGTTGAGGTGGGATGAATAGCAGCGTGAACGGACTGGCCTGGAACAAGGGAGAGGAGGCGAGGGTTGATGAACATGACGTATGACGCACTGCACTGAACCATCGTCGGGTCTACCGGGTCGTCAGCTCTGCGTGTAGGAGACTAGGTCTTGGAGCGCACCCCTTCAGCGTGGTCGTTTCCATAAGCACTAGACAGTTTGAGTGATGTGGAGCAGTCACGGAATAACCTGGTCGTGCAGGTGAGCTGGTATCACTCGGGAGTCTTCGCCGTGCGTCTATTGATGGGCTCTGCCTCTGCGCAATGTCAGTAACGGAGCATGCATAAGCTCGAGTAGTACGCGCACCTCGGTCCCTTCGACGACTTATTCGTGCTTGCGCTGCAGTCTCTCCTCTCCACCCGCTGCCCAGAGCTCATGCTGCCCGTGCCCAACCGAGAACTCGCCATACTCATATGCCGACCCCAACCAGTTTGCGTCAGGCCACGCTCAAACCGCCTACTCCCTGCCCACAATGCATGGTCCCCCAATGCGCGGAGATTCGTCTTATATCAGTGTAGTGCGACCATCGCCCGCCGGCAGGCAATAAACGAGCATCTTGATGCACCAAAAACTCGAAACGCACTTGTTCCGCGGATCTGGGCATGTGCAACGAAATCGAGATGAGCGTAGCCAAAACTCTCACAGGAAGCGAGTAAAACGCACGTCTTGAAATTTGAAAGCCTTCGCATCCCACGCCAACACCACTGCCCCGCGGTTATGATGGGTGTTGCGGACCCAGACGGCTTCGCACCGTATAGCGCAAAGCTAGATCTGACTTCGTGTCTAAAAGACGATACGGGCTTGCTCGATTGCTTCGCCAAAATAGCTGGATGTACAAGCTGTCGGTGAGTGAGGTGGAAATATGACGTCTTTGCCTGGTGATGTGCCGACCTCGCTCAGAGACGGCTGAGCGTCCTACAGCGCCTTGATGATCATTGTCGAGTGTTGCCGGCATAGCGGAGGAGATAGAAAGATGAGTGATACGGTCGTCGGTGCTAGTTAGCGACTCGTGCCTGGTCGGAGAGTGTGGGAGGGAGAGATGAGAAGGCTGCGCGGGACGCACGAGGAGAGAAGGGAGCGTGCGACGGGACCCAGAGTGGAAGCTGACAGTTTAACCGACAGCGGCATGGGTAACCGTCCAGCTTGGCGACGATGGAGGCGATACATGGGTCGTTGGTGGTGGTGGTCGAGAAGAACAGCCCGCAGACGCCACAAAGCCCGCGCCCGAGCCTGGCTTTCGATGCATACGTAATCTAGAGCTTTGATTCTTACCACCCTCCCCGGCTTGCGTCAGGACCACGCCTGCGTCGCGCTAGCATCTGCAACGCATTTCCACTGCAAGTCGTGGGCAATGCTGAACGTAGCAGGCTGGGCAAACATCAGGCGGCGAACGCCATCGCCAGGCACGGCATCTGTCAGGCTTGATTACATCGCAGATTGAGGAATTCTGGTCGCGTATGCAGCCTGAAAATAGAGCAACTCGTTTGGTGCGTGTACATTCATCACAGAAGGTGTGATGAGGCTGTATGATGTTAGAATGGCGAAGCGGATTCGGAACAGGCAATCCGTCAAGTAGTCTGCTTCCAACGGAAGTAAATCACCTATGTGCCCTTCGTCAGCCGATGATTTACCGCTATCGCTACACTTCTATCTGATTGCAGAGGCTGCGCTGATCTCGAAGAGTTGAGTTATGTATACCTGGTGCTTTAGTGAGGCGATTATCACCGCAGTATGCCGAAACGAGCGTAATCTTAGTGCCTGTAGTGAATTGTCCAGCACTGCATCATGATTTCAATATGCTACAATATATATGGCCTGTCTGTGAGTTCGCATCCCTGCACCGACCAGCCAACACCTTCTTACACTACAGCCTGCCTACATGGCCCAGCCAAGTTATGATCTGAGCCAGGTGGCACAAGAAAGGTACAAGTTCTCTCTTCCCGTAACACACATATTCTGCCTCTGACACACAAGCTACACGGTATCCAGTAGGATCACAAACTGCGTGGCTTATTCGCTACTGGGTACGTTGCCCCGCCAATAATTCCCCGATCGGTGCAGCGGCACTCTATTGATTCACTTTCATTCTCAGGCCTTGCCGTGTATGAATATGTTATAACGCTGAACCAAGAGATTGCGGCAGTGTGGAGAAGGAAGCTGACGGCCACTTCACTGCTGTTACTTACCATCCGGTGGCTCATGGTATTAAACCCGTTTCTATCGGCTGCGCTACCCGCTGAAAGACAAGTCTGGTGTGAGTGCGCAGTGGCAGTGTCCTGACGCTTAAGAATAGGCTAACCTCATGGTACCACTCTACAGATGTACACCGCGTTTTTTTTTTGGCGAAATGTTTTCCGATAAACCGCTCCACCTGATGCAAGGTGTACACCGTATTACATAGTGATAACATTTGTGTACTTAACAGTTACATTCCTCATATCGGGTGAGCACCGAGCACATCCGCCGTCGAACTGCATTAAAATGGACTTAATTACCTGCACAGTATTCTCCGCTTTACGTGTATACGCGCTCTGGCAAGGCTCGAGGATGAAATATGCCTTCACGGCAATTGTACTGACGCTTGGGATAATCCCACTTGGAACAAACATCGTGAGCCATCGCTCTATCAGTCATGCGGTCAATGTTTACTGACCTGAATTTAGTTCCATGCAGTGCGCACCTCAATTACCTACGTGGATGGCCAGCAGCTCGCCGGATGTTCCACCTTCACCAACATACCACCGAAGCTGACCACAGAGTATGTACTAGTCTACTATCCGGACCGCTTGGCTGTCCGCTGACTGCATTGCCTAGGAGTATGTCTGTCATGCCTCGCTTTCTATCTTTACCTCATTACGAACATACATTCAGTGCTCTTTCTTACGAGATGCAGTCTAATCGCCTCTGACGTTATCGTCCTTGTGCTGACATGGACCAAGTCATTTGCGCATTGGCGACAGATGCGGCGATTCAAGCTCACATCGTCTATTTCGTCTGTGCTTCTCAGAGACGGTATGCATTTAACCCTCTTTTAATTCACTCATATACGACGCGACTGACGGAATACTGGTGTAGGTACCCTTTATTTTCTGTAAGCTATCGGATCGTATGGCTTTCCAGAGAATCCGTCTAATACATGCGCTCCTAGTGCGCTTCTAGGCATGAGCATTCTACAACTCCTGACCTACTCAACCAGTCTCGTTGGTGATGTAATTATTCAGATATTTCTATCTGAAAAGATTCTGATCTTATGACGATAGGGCACCTATGCGACTGGCTTTATCCAGTACTTGGTAATAATTCCACAAGCCCCGATGACAACGGAATCACTGACTAGATGTCGCCGTTTACAGCCCCCGCTGTTGGTCCAGCGCTTCATCCTCAACCTCCGCCAGCACGACTATAACGCTCAGGCCAGTGAAAATAACTCCGACGCCCAACACGTTTCCCGCCTCACTATGAGCTTCAGAGTGCCCTCCGATTTCCTCGGGAATATCGGGGAGCCTCTGGACCATAGCCGCTCTGAGCAGGTTGATGATGATGATGACGAAGACCACTGCGTAGCGGAAGTGCCAAGAGAAGGGCTCGAGGAGGGGGTAATTGGACCTTGCTGGGCTGCCGAATAGACGAGTATTTTACTCTATCCCCCCGTTAGGTAGATTAACGCAGAAACCTTTCAAGCAAGTTTACAAATGCCGTAGAGCCGTGAACGTATGGCTATCAGTGACCACCTCTTATTGTACTGCCCAACATAAGTGTCGAAGTGGACGGCTGCCTCTTATTGTATTACGTTTGAGCTCTCATATTTGATACTAGTTCCAGTCCCTACTGCGTTATCTGCGTTCGTCTTAGCATTTGGACGATTATTTGTTGCTACCAATAGTACGACGCATTCCTAGGAGCGCGACGGCATAGAACCTCGTATGCGTGTGGCTTGTAGATGGGTCAGACGGGTCAGACGGGTCAGATGTCCGATATTCGTCTGCTAGCTCTGATTTCGTTTGTCTCAGTCTTTCAGTTTCATTTCCACCGCGGTGGTGCGTACAAGCGGCGCTTCTAAACGAACTTGCTTTCCTACTTTGAAGTTGTGTACAAAAAAATTGTCAAGATGGACAAGTGTCAGAAAGATGTCTAGGCACGCTGGTAGGAGCGGACAAGGTTGTGCCATGAATAGCTTCAAACGCCCCCGGTGCCAATTTCAACGGCGTGTCTATAATTGTGCGCACAGGAATCAACACTCAACTGGTGCTGCATAACGCGTCCCGTAGAGCCCTTCTTGCTTCGCCTTGATCTCTGCAAATTCCACGTCAATCAGCGACCCTAAAACCCGCTGCGAAAAAAAAACGCTGGTCACTCACGCAGCGCCAAGATCTTCGAGAAGCATCGGCACCATCCGAAGTTGCCTGCGCAAATCTCGTCAGCATCCCGACCCATCATGAGCCACATGTTCGGCAGATTTTGGAGCTCGCGCCAGGGGCCCTTGAGCTCGCCCTCGGCGTTCAGGCCCCACAGCGGCGGAACTGCCGCCCCGGCGGGCTCACCGAGCAGATTGCGGATCGGCACGCGCACGTCATCGAAGCTGCGTGTATAACAAAATATAGCGAGTGTCAGGCCCACAAATAAAGACTGCAGACGACGCCAGGACGCGCACCCTGTAGCCACGACGATGATATCTGCAGGCAGCTCGGTCCCGTCCGTGAACACGACGCCGCCCGGTGTGATCCTCTCGACCTCGACACCGGACTTGACCTTTATCTTGCCGTCGATTATCTTGCGGCACGCGCCGTTATCTGCTATGGTATCAACAGTCGGGGTCATGGAGCGTGGCGCAGAACGGAAGACGGAAGTAGCAGCGGCGCACCGATGTAGTACCCCCCGCCGCGCGTGACGAAGAGGTGGTAGACCCCACAATCGTGCTCGCCGCCGTTACGCAGTGTGTATCCGCCTCGCACGAGGCCGTCGAGTATATCCCTGTGCACGGATGTTAGCGACGCGCACACGAGTGACTACTAGTAGCGTAGCGTGGGCGGGCAATGCACCTGTCGAGGGCGCGGACGTGCGCCGCGGCACGCTCTGCCATCGGCCACTGGAACTTAAAAGGAAGCGAGTGCGATTTTAAATCAATATCCCCTAGGCGGCAGCGGCAGAGCCTCGTACTCGTATAACTCGTGGGATTGGTGCATTAGATGTCGAATGTACATCCGCTCCCGTCTGTTGCGGCCCTTCAGTTTCATTCCCACCGCGATGGTGCGCATACGGTGTGCACAAGCGGCGGGTCTGGGTGGACTTGCATTGTCAATCTCAAGTCGCGTTCAAAAGCTCTGTTGAGACGGATAAGTGCTATAAAGATGTCTAGCCGCACTAACAGAAGTGAAGCGAGGTTGCGCCGTGAATGGCGTCGGCTGCCTCTAATGCAGATCTCGGCGGTGTCTCTCTATCATGCGGCGTACCGTGCGTACAAAGTGCAGACAAGTGCGCAAATATTGGCAGGGAACCGGAACAGCATAACGCGTTTTGTAGAGCTTCTCCTGCTTCGCCTTGCGCTCTGCAAATTCCACACGAAGCTGCAACCCTGACACTCGTCGTAGAAGGAATTTTGCTACTCACGCAGCGCTAGAAGTTTGAAGAAGTATGGGGTACACCAGCGGGTGGATTTGTCCCTCAAATCTCTATATCTGTGCAACGAGATCGAGGCAAGTATAGCAAAGGCGCTCACAGGAGGCGAGCAAATCGCATATATTATATCAGAATCCATGTATGCCGTCATATCCTTTATACGTCGACACCACTGCTCCCGCGGCCCGCCGGCGAGTGTCGCGGACCAAGACGGCTTTGCGTCGTCCAAAACAGAAGTAAGGGGCAGTTTCTGGCAAAACGGATAGCGCAGTCTGCTCGGCCGCTTCACCAAAGGAGCTGAGCGTGCAAGCTGCCGGTCGGGTGCGATGAAATAATACCTTTGCCCCTTGGTGTTCTATTCTCGCTCAGAGATAGCGGGGCGTCGTACAGCACCTCGTGTGCATTTTCGAGTGCTGCCGACATGGGATACGAGATGGAAGTGCAGTTGTTAGGGTCGTCAAGGCGAGCTAGCGACTCGTGCTGGGTCGGAGTGCGCCGAGGTGAAAGGGCTGTGCAGGACGCACGAGCAGAGGGTAAAGCGTACGACGGCAACAAACGCGGGAGAACCTGCAGCTGGCAACTCAAACGCAACGAATCATCGTTCAGCTTGGCGACGATCGATGGAGGCGACGTGTGGGTCGATGGAGGTGGTGGTTAGAGAGGAACGGCCCGCACGCGCCACTAAGCGCGCGCCCGCGGGTTTTCCTAATCTAGACTCGGCGCTTTCATGTTACCGTTACCACCATCCTCGGCCTGCGCTGACTCCCGCGTCCATTCTAAGAGGTGTGTGACAAGTCCGCATGGTGTTAGAATGGCGAGACAGAATTGGAGCAGGTGAAGGCGAGTTTGAGGCCGAGCGCTGAGCTGCGATGGCTCTTGTCTCTCTCTAACAATTCACATAATCGAACAAACTAACTAAGTATCGTGTTAACTCCCTGCGTTTCCGTATAGAGCCGAGATGGCAGCGTGCTTTGACCGGGCTTGCAGTAGACCGAGCAAATGCATATGCATGTCTGTATGTCCGGATCTTACTGTAATGTTCACCGCCTCTATGATTCTCCGTTCACGACTGGCCTGCATGTGCTGCTCAGCCCGTCCATCTATCCATCAAGCAGTTTTGAAGATTTACTTACAGGACCGGGAGTGTAATGTATGCGGCACGCCTCGGGTGATTGAGATTCCGCACTTACCTCACTTCTATCTGATTGCGGATCGGAGGTGCATACGGATTGCGCTGATCTCAGGGACATGCCAGTGCTCCACCTGATTGAGGAGCTTTACTATGGTAATTATCACAATACTTAGATATTCGCGCGCTGAAACGAACCATAATTTTAGGACCTGTCATGAACTATCCTGTGGCACTGCGTGTGTTAGTGTATATAATAGCCAGGAAACGAGTTTGCTTCTCTGCACCAACCAGCCTGCGTCTTACACCACAGACAACATGGCCCAGTAAAGTGAAGAACTGAAGCAGTAATTTCAAAAAATGTACGTGCTTTCTCTCTGCGAAATCCACATCCTCTACTTCTAACATGAAAGCTATGTATACAGCTGGACATCCGACTATGTGTCTTATTCGATACTGTGTATGTTGCCGCATTGTCAATCCTCGGCGTCACCCTGCTGATTAACTCTCATCCCCAGGCCTTGTAGCCTACGAGTTTGTCATAACATTTGATCAAGAGATTGCAGTAGTATGGCGAAGGAAGTTTACGGCCACCTCGGTGCTATTACTGGGTGTCCGATGGCTCATGGTTCTGAGCCCAATTACGATGGCTGTACTTACCTGGGGACCAGCTTGGTGTGAGTACACTGATAGCTACCAGTCGAGGTGGGCTGATCTTGTAACGGTACTGCCTACAGGCGTACTCTACGTTTTTTGAGGGAGTTTTCTCTGATGAACTACTGCATCTGTCACAAGGTGTAGACCGCATTACGTACTGGAAATACTCATGTACTTGACGGACACAGTTCTGATCTCGGGTGAGCGTCGAGCACCTCTGCCATTGCAAGGCATGAGGCTGGGCTGATATTTTGTGTAGCATCCTCCACTCTGCGTGTGTACGCACTCTGGCAAAGCTCGAGGATGAAATATGTTTTCCCTGCGGTTGTATTTATGCTTGGGACGGTCCCGGTTGGAACGAATATCGTGAGCCTTCCTCCTTCGTTTACAATAATTTCTACTCACTTACATGCAGGTCAACTCGATACGCACTTCAGTCTTTTACGTGGATACTCCGCTGTACTTTGGATGCTCCGAGTTCTTCAACATGCCGCCGAAGCTGGACACAGAGTGCGTCCCAGTCTAAAATGATTGCTTAACTATGCACTAACTGGGCCATCCAGGTGTACGACTGTTTGTGTTTGATTTGTATCCTCCACACACTGATCATGGTTGCAGTGCTCCTTCTCACGAGAAGCAGTGTGATTGCTTCTGATGTTGGCGCCCTCGTGCTGACATGGGTCAAGTCGTTCGTGCACCTCCGGGAGATGCGACGCCTCAAGCTTTCTTCTTCTGTTTCGGCTGTGCTACTCAGAGATGGTGTGTATCTCACTCTTTTGCTACTTACACATGTACAATGCGACTCATGAAAAATTGGGCTGGGCACCCTTTATTCTCTGTAAGCTATGAAATGATGCGACTTTATAACGACCTCATCTAACATATGAGCTCCCAGTACGCTTCTAGGCATCAGCATCCTACAACTCATGACGTATTCAACTCGTTCCGTGAATAGAGTAATCATTTGAACACGTCTTTCTGGAAAGAATCTGATTCTGTGCTTGTGGGGCACCTTTGCAAGCGACTTTGTCCAGTACATGGTAATAATTTTATAAGCTCGGATTGTAAGGGCAGTAATTGACTAGGCGCTATTGTCTGCAGCCCCAACTGTTGGTGCAACGTTTCATCCTCAACCTTCGCCAGTTCAATCACGCCGCTGAGGCCAGTGAGAATAGCTCAGATGCGCAGCACTTTTCGCGCTTCTCTGTGAACTTCAGGGTGCCTTCCGATTTCCTCGGAAATATCAAAAATCCTCTGGACCATGGCCCACCAGAGCGAGCTGGAGAAAATGGCGAGGACGGCCACTGTGTGGCAGAAGAGACGCGGGATGAATTCGAAGCTAGTTTATCGCCGCAGGCAGGTCCTGATACCACACACCAGGACTCGGAATTAACCGGTGCCAGCATCACTCGGGTGCCGCGGTTCAGTGAATGTGCAAGCGAAGGGGGCAGTATCGGATTTCCTGCTTATTCGCGCGAACTAGGCGAGTAGTGTTCCCTATGCCTCCTGTCAGTGTGGCTTGACGTAGGCGCATTTCAAGCAGGAGCGAGCTATGATGCATGGGTATGCATGAATTCACAGCTGCTGTTTTGTCCGGTGCCGGCGCCGAGGCGTACGGCTACATTTTCACGTACTGCGCTCCACTTCTCAAATTTAGTACTCGTTACGATCTCGCCTTCATCCTCCAAATTCCTCTAGGAAGTATACCAATTATTCGTTGCACGACGCGGCATGTTATCTCTCAATCTCTGCGCTACCGGTACCCTCCTGGTTTCGTTCGCCACAGCTTATAATTTTTATTTCCGATGCGACGGTATGCGAATGATTTGCACAGGTACCGCGTCTGCATGGGCTTAAATTACCAACCGCGGTCGTCACAAGAGTTCTATGGAGATGGAAAGGTACCAGAAGGGTGTCTAACCACGCTGAAGACACAGGCAGAGTCGCGCCGCGAAGAGCTGCGGCAATCCCAGTGGTGATCTCGACGGTCTCACTATCGCAGAGCGCGTCATCGAAGCTGCGTGCGAAAAGCACGTTGAGCCGGACTCCCGCTGGACTGAAGGGCAAAAATACTAGCACGCACCCTGTGGCGACGACAACGACGCCCGCGGGGAGCTCGCTTGCGTCGCTGAGCGCGACGCCGCGCGGCGGGTGTGCTCAAGTTGACCCTGATCTAGCCATCGGCGATCTTAAATTGCACGCCGTTCCTGATGTAGCACCCCGCGCCACGCATGACGAACAGGCCTGAGAGGCCGTAGTCGTGCGCACCGCCGTCGCCCAGAGTGCGTCCGATGCGCACAAGGCCATCGAGCCTCTCTCTGGCACCACAGTTGGCAGTGTATCGGCAGATCAGGCGGATGGGGCCGGCCGCAGGAGGGATGCGAACCTATCGAGCACATGGACGTGCGATGCTTGGGACTACAAGGAGCTGAGTGAGAGCGAGTGCTGGCTGAGGCTGAAGTCGTCGTGTGGGTGCCGATCCCAACCCGATGCTCCCGCGGGGAGCGGTTCAAGGTGGGGAGGGATGGTAGCGTGAACGGAGTGGCCTAGGACAAGGGAGAGAAGGCGAGAATTGGTGGATATGGCGCACGTCGCGCTGCACTGGATTATTCTCAGGTCTATCTGACCGTCAGCCCTGCGTGCGGGAGACTCGATTTTGAAGCGTAGTTCTACAGCACAGCCGTTTTCATATGCAACAGGCAGCTTGGTTGATGTGGAGCGGTCACCGTAAATCACCTGGTGGTGCAGGTAAGCTGGAGGTGTTCGATCTTCGCCATGCATCTATGGATGGGGTCCGGCTCTGGGCAATGTCAGTAACTGAGCATTCATGGGCTCGAGTAAGACGCGCACCTCAATCCCTTCCATGACCCACTCGTGGTCCCGTTTCCCCGAGCTCCTGCAGTACTGCCTGTGCCCAACCAAGAACTCGCCATGCTCATAAGCCAATTTCGGTGACTTTGCGTCAGGCCACGCTCGAACCACTCGTTCTTTGCGCAAAATACGGGGTCCCTCAATGTGTGGAGGTTCGATTTATATCATTGTAGTGCGGTCGTCGCCCACCGGCAGGCAATGCACGAGCATCTTGATGCACCAGGATCCTGAAGCGCATTTGTTCCGCGAATCTCTGGGTCTGTGTAACGAGATCGAAATGAGTGTAGCCAAAAATTCACAAGAGGCAAACAAAATGCACGTCTTCAGATTAGCCTTCGCGCCCTATGTCGGTACCACCATTCCCGAGATTATGATGTGTGCTGCGGACCCAGACGGCTTCGCACCGTACACAGTAGTGCCAAGTTAGATTTAACTTCGAGTTTCAAAGCTTCAAGATGGTACGGCTGGCCCGACTGCTTCATCAACGGAGCTGGATGTGCAGGCTGTCGGTGAGTTGGGTGGAACGACGTCTTTGCCTGGAGGTGTGCCGCTCTTGCTCGGAGCTGGTTGGACGACCAGGACACGTCCTACAACGCCTTGAAGATCATTGTTGAGTGCTGCCGGCATAGCGGAGGCGATGGAACTTGAAGTGCGAGTGATACGGTCGCCAGTGCTAGTTAGCGACTCGTGCCGGATCATAGTGGGTGAGAGGGAGAGGTGAGAAAGCTGCGCGTGATGCACGACTCGGAGGACTCGAGGAGAGAACGGAGCGAAAAAGTCCGCTAATTTGCCCGAGGGCGGTTGGGTTGGCAATTGTTCAGCTCGGCGGCGATGGAGGCGACGCGTGGGTCATATGAAGGTTGCTATTGGACAAAAAAAATGAGTTTGGAATTGGTGCAGACTGTACTCACAGTTTGGCGGACAAGGGTGCGCAAACGTGAACGAACGTGAACGAACGCGCACGAACGTGCACGAAAGCTCACGAAAGTGGGCGAACGTACATGATCGTGCACAAAAGTAGACGAACGTACACGATCGCGCACGAAAGCGCACGAACGCACACGAACGCACACGAACGCACACGATCCAAGAGTTTCAGTTCGGCGGCCCAGACACGGGAACTTATTAAGTTACACCGGACTAGCCACCCAGAAGCGCCCAAGAGCGGCTAAGACATGCTGAAGAATTTCTGAAAAGCCCAAAAGCCCAAAAAATGGCACAAGCGGGAATCAAACCCGCAGCCCGAAAGCAACCACAGCACACTATACCACTAAGGCATAAGACCTTGCAAATATAAGCTTGGAATTTCCCTATACTACCACTTTTCTACCTCAAAGTCTTAGCTGTAATATTGTAGCCAATTATCAGGTATTTAGTGATGTGCGGGCCCGGCTTGGGCTCAAAGCCCGGGCTTGGGCTTGTGACGACGTCGAGCCGAGCCCTGAGCCCGAGCCGAGCCCGAGCCCGGCCCAAGCCTTGGGCTTAAGCCCGGGCTTGCTCACAATACAACGAGTGTTCCGGTGCTATCAAAAGGGAATGTATTTGGGTGTAGTAGATTAATACTGCATGTACTCACTAAATTATAGCCTCCAGAAGATCTACACCTGCGGAACAAGTCGAGTCGCAGCGAAGTCCACGAGCGCGCGCCTACGGCAGGCACCAGACGGTGACGCGCAATCGTGCTCGGCAGGAGCCGTCACATCTAGAATATCTACATTTTGTCTTCTATGTATATATTAGGTCGTTCTCTCCTTATTCTGAACTCAGGGAACAGTAACGGAGCCATCACACCCAAGCCTGGGCTTCCGGGCCGGGCTTGGGCTTGACTACGCTCAGAGCCCAGCCTTGAGCCCACTGCCAGGCTTGACTCGGGCCAGGCTTTTTAGGCCGGGCTTGGCGGGCTTGCAGGCTTTGAGGCCCGGCCCGCACATCACTACAGGTATTAAAGCATTGGAATGTAATTGTACAAAGGTATATTCTAATGGTATGGCTAAGACATTGATGTGGCTAAGACACCAGTGTGGCTAAGACATTGAGTCATTAAATATTTGCTATTGGTTCTGCTTATTGTACAAATGTATATCCTGATGGCGTGGCTAAGACACTAGTGTGGCTAAGACATTGG